AGAGAGAAGAGGGAGAGAGGGAGGAGAGGAGGGAGAGGAGAGGAAGGGAGGAGGGAGAGAGGAGGTGGGTGTTGAGAAGCTGTGGCTCGGGGCGCACAGCGCAGCTCCGGCGGACTCTTCATCAGTAAGTTCTTCTTCATCGTTTTGTCATTTTCTCGCTGCTGGTCCGACTTTTCTTCTCGTGTCTCCTCAGAAAACTGCAGCTCGTCTGGACTCAGGTCAGAGAAGAAAGTTCAGATGAAGAACCACGAGCTCAAACGTCTTCCTGTTTAGACTCAGATGGTTTCAGTTAAACCGCAGAAATCATCTTTTTAAAGGAGGAGGTCCGGTTCTGACTCGGAGCGCTGTCCATGGTGCTGAATGTTTCTTATCCAGCTGTAACTGGCACCAGGAGCTCCAGCCTGACTGGACCTCTGCAGGTTCTGCTGGAGACAGAGTCAGGTTCCGACCCGGAGGACAGCAGCTTTCATTAGTTGCTTTCCGGACAAAACCCGAACCCAGATCCAACTGTTCCGGGTCTCCTCCTGGTGCTTCTGGACCAGCCCAGAGCACGATGTTCTGTGGGTCCAATAAAGGCAGAACCTGTCAGCTGAAGTCCGGCAGTCTGACACCAACTGGACCAGACATGAAGAACAGCGCGAGAAGCTCGGCTCCATAGAGTCGTTTAGAAGAACCGGAACCAGAAGAGAGGAGGTCCAGCAGCGGCTCTGGTTCCCCGGCGCGCGCTCACATGATGGGGATGAAGCACTTCCTGCTTCTTTTCATCTACCTGGACCCGTTCAGTGTTCTGTGCGCCGCCGCCAGCAAGAAGAGCAAAATCCCCCCCAGGAGGACCCCAAAGCTGAAGGAGGTGAACGGAACCAGCAGCACCGCGGCCCCCGCCGCCGCCCCCGTCAGGATCACCCAGGTCCGGGCCCCCTCCGCGGGCCAGCACGACACCTGCATGGGCTACTACGACGTGAGCGGCCAGTACGACAAAGAGTTCGCGTGCAACAACACGGACCACCGGTTCTGCTGCGGCAGCTGCTTCCTGCGGTTCTGCTGCGCGGACCGGGCCAAGCGGCTGGAGCAGAGGACCTGCACCAACTACAACACCCCCGACTGGATCAAGACCCAGCCCCCCTCACCTGCGCCCACCGGGGACACGTACGACCCGGAGCTGGACCAGACCAACACCACGGTGTACATCACGTGCGGGGTCATCACGCTCATCATCGCCATCGGGATTTCTGCCAAGGTGGCCTATGATAAAGCCACGAAGCCCCCCCAGGAGATGAACGTGCACAGGTGAGCCCGCCCCCATCACGTGACACACAGCAATAACACTCACTAATAAACACTTTGCAAACTGTTCATAGATTAATGAAAAAGCGGTGGAAGAGTTTTCAGATCGTATGTATTGATTGTTTTTAATATAAAGTGGAGCTGGCGCGTGGTTCTGGTTCTGGACCATCAGAACCGGGACCATCATCTGCTCGGTTCACTCTTTCCACGAAGCTCCGACTCCTTTTGAAAAAAAGTGAGTTTGTTTCTGGGGGTGAGATTGGTGCTTGTTGAACCTCAGAGGAGTGATGCCCCTGCTGGGGGGGGGGGGGGGGGGGGGTCGTCTCTGATGACGTCGTCTCCGTCAGCTGTTGGAGAAACAGAAGCTTCTTGTTGGAAACGGACCGTTTTTGTTCCCGTCTCAGAGAAATCCACCACTCTGTTGATTCATTTTGTTGTCAGCCTTCACTCCCTGGTTCTGCCCCGCACCTGTTCCCTGTTGTTAATCAGCTCAGGTGTCTCCACTCTTCTCATCAGCCCCCGCCCTGACACTCTCCTCTGTTTTAGTTTTTCTGCCACATCAGCCTTTCTTTGTTTAATAAACCTGGTTTTAGTTTTTATTCAAGCTTCTTCGCATCTGCTTTCCTGTGCCCAAACTCCTCATCCATAGATGTACTTTAATAATCAGCCTGGATTATTTATTTATTTATGTTTTTGCAGCAGCAAACAAAAGCATTCAAGAACAAACTGACAACTGTATAAACAGGAACAAAGCTTCACAAATAATGACTTAAAAAATGTATGAAAGTGATCATACGTGTTAGAAACGACTGTCAGCTACTACCACCCAGGTTAGCTCAGTTTCTGTCAAACTGACTAACGGGTGATTGTTGTGTTTGCTGAGGCGGCCATCTTGAACAGAACTGTCTCCAAATGCTCATAGCTAGTCAGTGAATGACTTCAAGGAGTTTTATGAATGTCCGTCCAGTGGGTCATGAGATATTTTGCTAACAAACATATTATTGGTGGCTCCTTGTAATGAACATGTTTTACTAACACAAGAAGCAGTTTCTTCAAATGTTTTCCTGTGTTTTTTGCTCTGATCCCACCTTAATATAACCAACTTTGATCCAGATGTTTTAGAGACTCTTAGGTCCAGAAAGTTGCATCGCGACCAGAACCAGGACCAGTACGGTCCCGTTAAGTTCCGAACTGTAATTCTTTTCTTTTATAATAAGATCCAGGTGAAACAGATGGGTTTAGCTCTAAAATGTATTCTCTGCTCAGAAACGTGACGCTTCGTGCTGAAATAAATTCAAACGATTGTGTGAAATTATTTAGACTTTCATCAGTCCTGGAGTTGGAGACTTTGCACCGTGGGATGAACAAATCCCATTTCTTAAGGTCAGTCTTGGTTTTATTGCTACGATTAACTTCTGGACTCAACTCCATTCAATATGGCCGCCACAGGAAACCCATAAATGGCTACAATTCGTCCAGTTGACCTCAGTGTGGAGAGGAATGTCCAAGCTCGGAGGGAAGCGCATTGTTCAACATCTTTATTTATATCTTTGGCATTATCTGTTCTCTGTTAGCAAAATGTCATGAGAATGAACGGGTTGTGATGAAACAGGAAGTCATCATCAGCTGTTGATGGAATAAAAAAAAAAACTACTTCCTGTAACAGACACTCCGATATTCTTTCACGTAAGAGACCAGCGTTGACATCCTGTTAGGATCGTATGATTTAAAAAGAAACTAACTGCAACCAATTTGTTTAAATGTGAAGGCAAAATTTTATTCTTACTCCAAACATGTCTGAGTTAATGTCAGTAAACTCATTATAAAAACATTTATTTTACCACTTTTATTACTTGTGCTCCTGAAAGGCTCCGTTTCAACATTCCTCCTCTGATCCACCTGATTCCCGGTGTCAGCGGCTACAGCTCAGTCAGTTTTCCATCTTGTGGCTAAATCTGCGTGGTAGTAGCTGAGACTCATTCATCATGACATGATCTTGGTGTTAGCGGTGAGGGGTGATTCCTGCAAAACTAGGACTGTAATGTACAGTAAACTGTGAATGTTTCATGGTTTAGAGATCTGTAGAATGAGTTGTTTTGTTTTTCTTTAAAAAGTTTGACTTGAGCCACAAACAACCTTGAAAACAAACCTGGTAGTTTAAATTTATATAAAAACTTAAATGATGATGCATTCTGAAGTTTATTTTCTTATATTTAAGAGCAAAGACAAAAACACAAAGTAATCCAAATAAAAGGAAAACAACAATGTGATCTAAAGCAGCAAACATAAAAACTGTCCATGATTTAAAAAAAAAAGCTTTTTGATTCTAAATACAAAAGTTATTTATTCAATTCAGTTTATTTTTGTAGCGCCAAGTCCCATCAGATCTCATGGCACTGAACAGAAACATTCACGTATAAAAGACAATTATTAAAGTTCTCTGTGTAAGGAAGCAGCAGATTGTGTAGAATCTTCTCTTCGTCACAGTCTCCCATCCTGAGCAAGCACAAAGGAGACAGTGGAAAGGAAAAATATTTTTAACAGGAAGAAACTTCCAACAGAACCAGGCTCAGTACGAGTGTCCCATCTGCTTCAACCGGCTGGGTTTGAGAGGACAGGAAGTAGAAACAGACACAGAAAGACAGGTTCAGGTAAACTTTCTATAGCCCAGGTGAACTTTCTATAGTCCAGGTGAACTTTCTATAGTCCAGTTAAACTTTCTATAGTCCAGGTGTACTTTCTATAG